CATTTCAGGTATCTCTATATTACGTCCAAATTAGTGGTATCTTCACCGGTTGGAAACATGGCGTCGAACGTAGCCAGAACGAGTACGATACTGACATATCCGACTTGTACTGGCTCAACTCAGCTGCAGAGGTGACTGAAATCCAACATAAGCTGAACAACTCCTTGGATAATGACGTCATAGACACCCTGCCCCACTTATCCAGTGGATTCATAAGGATAGTTAATGAAACATCTAGCAAGAAGCTTTATCTAGCCCAAAACACAGCTGGAAGGTAATTTTTACTGCAGTCATCAGAAACTTGTAATAACTTTTAANATTTTTACTGCAGTCATCAGAAACTTGTAATAACTTTCTAAAACAAAATCTAGAAGTTAAGTAATGCAAGGCAGTAAAAATTTTTTTTTGGTATTTTCAGCTACTCCTCAATGACTCGCATATTAAAACGATACAAACTTAACTACCATCTCACATCTAACAAGAACTCCAGTCTCATCCCGGGAACATCGGTGGACTTCTCCGGGTATCCTGGGTCCATTAACAGTCAAGACGAATTTTACATTTTAAAAGGGAATGACCATAGACTAGCAGTTTCCGGTACACCACTCAAAAATTACAATAGCAAACTGTGGAAGGAAGTGAACATAACTGAACAAGTAAGTTGCACCTTTTTTTTGAGCTTTGGTCGTTACAACAGTTGCAATTACAATTCGCAACACGCTCGTAGTCTCACATGTCACACAAGAAAGTTGCAAAATAAGTGACCCAGATCGTGTGGAATACTTGTTTGTAATTTTCCTTTGTAGATACTTCTTATCAACACAGTGGCCATTATGTAAACAACATGTTTATATCAATCGCCATCACTCATGGTAGCGTAAACTAGCCCTACATTATTACGCCTATAGGGATAACCACATAACTAACTTTCCTGTCTAATATTATTGCACTAAGTATGCACTAGGTTCAATAATATTCTGCGCTTAAAATAATAACCCAAACTTTATGCACTTTGAGCCTTCATCCTGTTGTTTCATCTTATGATAAAAATTTTCAATTAGAGCCCTGTAGAATACAATAGAATATGTAAGTACAACAAGTACCTTTTATATTTTTCTAGGTGCCACTGGGTCCTCGCGTGCTGGCCGCCAACCACTTGGCTTCTAACGTGAGCACTTGGGGCCACATCCTAGCTCAAAGCAACTCCGGCACTGCCTGCAAGCAATGGCTGGTTGTTGACTACAACAAGTTCGATCAGCTGGAACATTTGAGGAAAGAGAAACCCATTGACAGACTCGCGAAGAACGATATCGTCACCGAGAGCACTGTGAATAGGTATGTAAAATTGGTTTACGAATCCATTCAAAGCTAATTTTGGACAGCTCCATGTCTTTTGAGTTATATTTAGGTATTTAAATTAGTTATGTATTCAGTCTACATAATTTTAAAATCTATTGAATTTTGTAAACACTAATTTCAACCACAAACGTACGTCAGTACCTCTAGTACGAAAAACTTTCGAGTTCGTTTCGTTGCGTATTCAAAGTGTCATCGAAAAATTTTGTATGAAAAATTAAACAGCGCCCCCTAGGGCGGCTATAATATAGGGGGCGCTGTTTAATTTTTCATACAAAATTTTTCGATGACACTTTGAATACGCAACGAAACGAACTCGAAAGTTTTTCCTACTAGAGGTACTGATAGCAAAACGTATGATCATAGTTTAGTCACAGTGTAGCTAAAGTTAATTCTTTAGGACCTAAACCTAAAGTTTAGGTTGTTTCGATTAATATAACGTAAAACGCGGAAGCAAGACTTACGCAATTACGTACTCATACACTCACTCTGTAACCACGTTTTCTCCTCAGGGATGTGAAACACACCGTAGTTTACCGAGCCAGCAATGGACACAGCAAGGGGCTGGTATGGCTGATAGAGCAGGTGCCCGGGCGCACGCACTCTGCAGATCTCACCGACGTGTTGATGGAACAGGGCTACTGGGCTACCTATGGCCTACCTTTCTTCCAGGTCAGTACAATAAAGTCTTCAGTCAGTTCAATACTCCTCTTCTACTTTCAGTTGAAAGGCCTCCGGCATGCATTTCCATAGCGACCGGTCCCGCGTTTCCCGCATCCGCAAAAATGTCAATTTCTTTGTTTAAGCTATTATAATAAATTCGTTTCGGTCATTAAGGTCATTTAAATTTTGAACCAACTTTGAGATGGTGCCGATTTACTGTGTTAAAAATGTTAAAACTATTGTTTGATGCGACTGAAATATTTTATCTAGAAGGTCAAAATTCCCACATTTGCAATTTTACCTAGTTAACATTATTCATGCTAATTTATTTAGTATCTTTTCCTGGTAATACATTTTGAAAAGATTCATTGACCACTAGTCTATCAAGGTCGGCCTCGCCTCAACGCAATGAAATCAAGCAAACGGAGAATCCGAGTGACCATGAATATACCTAATGTAATTTAACACATATTAGCTCAAGCGTGACTTCCGAATATATTTCACGATATTATTCGACAAGCAAACATAAATACCTACTTAACTGTCGTCAAAAACTAATTCTATTCAATAATTTGTTTGCATTGCGCTGAAATATTAACCTCAATTGTTTAATTTTCAGGATATAGCCGAAATCACACATGTCAATCAAATGGAAGAGCAGTATGGAAACATATTCTCAGAATCGGAATCTCCAAGAGCCGTTATTTTCAAACGTGGTTACAAAAACGCGACATCTCTGGAACGAATTATCAAACTAATGCGGCAGAACAACGTCACCGCGATCAACAGAGCTAGTAATGAGACCGAGGAATGCCAAGAGGGTTTGGAGTGCATGGTCGGAGAAATGGGGTACTGGGCAGTCCTTGGAGTACGCGGTGATTTGGTCCAAAAGTATAAAGAAGCATATGGAATCATAGACACAAAAGTTGCTACCGGTAGGTTCATAGTCCACTCATACCTACTTGTAATTTCAACAAAATCGCAAATGAACAGTAGCTTGAAGCAATTAAGTTTACTATTTAAGTAGGTATTAATTCAGAAGCGATTTATTTATTAGTAATAATTGGAGCATCTAAAATGGGTTAAATAATTTATGATTGTTTAATTAATGCCTAATCAATTTCTAAATAACGATTTTTAACCCACAGGTACACAAGGCAGGAGTTTTATAGAATTTGTGGCGCTATCCGGCCCTCCTTACACAAAAGCGAATGCCACTAAAATCAACAGAGGCAACATAGCCCCAATATACACCCACGAGTTCGACAACAACCCCTCAATCGACGGGCTAGAGATCCGAGACCTCGTGAAGCAGCAACTAGAAGAAGCTGAGCAGGAAAACTTGGAATACCTCAACAGGGATGTCATCAAACCATTTCAATGGTCAGAGAGCGACTACAAAGATAGACCTCACCAAGGATTCCCAGATAAATGGGAATTCGAACCCTTCAAACCTAAATGGTCTTGGTGAATCTCTACATTCTCAAATCATCATCCTTATTTGCTAATCTACTTAAGTGTTTCACTTTCAAACTATTTATGGTTCATTGTTTCTCGTCGTTAATTTCTCTCAGTAAGTTTCGTCCCTTGACAAAAATATCGTAAGTTTTTTTATATAAGAAATCGATTTAAGGACATAATCAATTATGATAGACTCAGAAATAATTCTACCGCATAATTGCGCATAATGTTGTCATAAACCACTTTGTGTTACTTTAATTCATTAGTAGAATGTTTTAAGTAAATTTAGTCTTATTTATTGGATCTTTGTTCGTATTGTCAATGTTTGTTTGTATATTTGTTTTAGTAATTCTTAAAATGTTTGTAATTGCGGAAGTTTTCACAATAATTTTATTTACAAAAAATATCGGAATCCAGAATCAGGATTCCATTTAAAATGATGAATGAAATCAAATATTTTGTGAAAAACCATCTTTTACGTGTTTTAAATATTTTTCTGTTAGGAATCATGAAAGTCTTTTAGTTAAAATTATCATTTTCATTGCACATTTGCTTGACTTTACTCGTATGTACTTTTAAATATTTACTTTAAATTGTATTTTAAATTTAATAACAATGAAGTGACCTGCAAAAGAACATTTCGGATTTACTCTCGAAAATAAAATGTTCCATTAGATAGTTACAAATCTGTTTTATTTTTGTTCCAAATATTTCTCCATAACTCTACCGACTTCTATCGAGGAAGAAAATCTAAAGAACTAAGATTATACCTATTCCTAGTAGAATACATTTTTGAAATAGGTAAGTACGCTAGCTGCTAGAGTATGCTCGACTGATAAAGACCAAGATAGACTATTATCTCTATTCTATCTAATCTCGTAGCAGCAGACTTTTCAATGGGATTACGGGAAGATAGTTTGAATTTTTCATAAAATTCTTCTTCTTATCTACCAATCTCAGTAATTTAGCAGGAAGGCGCTGGATCCAGGACGCTACCAACAGGCGAAACGACGTCCTATCCTATGGCTGAAATGATGATGATTGATGATAAACATAACATTGCTATCTGCTGATATGGCAAAAGACGATAGTACCTACGCTAAAATGGTAATAGCTAGCTATGGCCAGGTAGACTAAGAACAAGCCCTACCAGGTGAATCGTGTAGAAAACAACAAGTTCCAAAACAGGTGGTCATACCACTGAACCACAAAAGTGGTCTAAGAATTCCTCAGGAGAATTCTGAGATACTTATAAACTAAGTAGATATTTAGCAATCACCTACATATTCAAAAGTAGTCAAATAAAGTGCATTTACCAGAACATTAACATTACAAGCAACAATATTAATGCTGGATGGAATTTTGTCATGGTCATGGCCGACTACTTAAGTGACTATTTTGTGTGAGAAATGATCCAGTCTCTATTCAGCCGGTTAAATATCCTAGAGCGTAAACTGTCAAAGTGACAGTAAGTAGTTGGCGACGTTGAGACGTTAAAATAATAACAAATCATCAATCATGTCATGTGTTGATGTGATGAAATCATGCAAAATTAAATAAAATTTTGTTGTGAAATATTGTATTAGTCATCCAAGTTGTGACAATATTTTTGTTTAAACATAAATCCTCTTATAACAAACTTAATAAATCTACATAGAAATGAATTTTTTTAGAAAGGAACCCACAGTAAAAGGTACGTCATTATTATTTACTTGAATATATATTTCTAAAATCTTTCCTTAACAATCTTTCAAAGAAACTAAAACTCCTTGATATCTTTACCTGCACTATTGATGTAAGTAATTTGTGTTACAATAATACCACCATTGGTTAATGACACCTAAGAATTTTACATTTACCTAGTGTTTGTAGGTACTTGTTTCTTTTTCCAATCCATAACCTTGAACAAACAATTAAATAAATAAGAAGATACCAATATCATTTAGACGTAGTACAATTTGTTTACTAACTCTATACTATTTTTATTAAGTTAGCAATCTACCCTTGTATTTATTATCAACATTTTTGTTAAATACAGAACAGCAAAGACAAAATGAGAGAGAACTTAGAAAGGCCACTAGGGATTTGGAACGGGATAAAGCAAAGCTAGAGAGAGAAGAAAAGAAATTGGTGAGTTACAATACAAGTCCAGTTATCAATAAAATTTGAGTCAGCAAACTGATCAACCAGTTGGAATGATTAATTATTTAATTTGGCAATTACCTAATGATTCTAATTGTAATCATAAAGTTCATAATTTATTAATGTGTTTTAATTTTAACATAGTAGTTTCTATATTTTGAAAAGTTAATCTGTTATGTAATATTTTTCAGGAAATGGATATTAAGAAAATGGCTAATGAAGGCAATAATGATGGATGTAAAATATTGGCTAAGCAATTGGTGCAATTAAGAAAGCAGAAAAATAGAATATACTCCGCTAACAGTAAGGTAAGAAAATTACTTGGTTTATGTTTGCAATGATGTGTGCTTTAGTTTTGCAAACATCCAACCAAGTGCATTATTTATTGCATTTGGTTACATTTGAATTAAATTGAAAAATTTTCTTAGTCTAAAAACTAAAACAAAATCTGCTTTAATATTTATACCTATGCATGTGACTGTATAGGACAGGGGTGGCCAACTTGATTAGATATAAGATCTACTGTTTACTAACGAAACCCTGGGCGATCTACAACTTACATACTTCTTGAAATCTTAAATGAAACAGCATAGTTTAGTACACAATCATGTAGTATTTTTTGTGCCTTGCCATGATCGACTGGACGTCGCGATCGACCGGTTGGCCACCCCTGGTATAAGGGATAGGTGGTATAAGTCTTCATTTCATACCCTGCAAGTCCTAATAATTGCAGTTAAGAAGTTATAAATATTTTACAGATGTCGGTCGTTTGGTGTAGTGGTTCGAAACGGACTACTATTCCGGAGGTAGCGGGTTCGATTCCCGCACAGTACAAACATTTGTGTGCATGAACATATTTGTTTGTATTGGACTGGGTGTTTTCTATGTATAATAAGTATGTATTTACAAAAAAAAAAGTATTTAAGTATGTTTATATCTGTTGTCTAGTACCCATAGTACAAGCTTTGCTTAGTTTGGGACTAGAAGCGCAGTGTAAAATGTCTAAGGATATTTATTTATTTATTAGATATCAAATGTTCAACTCCACAACAAGACGATGGGAGCGAACATAGCCATAGCGGGTGCGATGGGCACCACGGCCAAGACAATGGGCAACATGAACAAGGTCATGAACCCGCATCAAATCGCCAAGGACATGGAAGCGTTCCGACAGGCGAATGCCAAGATGGACATGACCGATGACATGAGTAAGTTATTCATATTATCATTATATGTATTTTCTTTTATAGACTTGTAAGGTGATAACTGAAACACAGTAAATAATAATGGTCTAAATTGGTTAAACTTAGTTTGTTTTCTCTTGACTTAAAATAATGTGAAAAAATGTGAAGTCTAACATGATCTTATTTTTTTTATGAGAATTACAGAATAAGTGTAGATTAGTGAATAAATCTGAAATAACACATTTTTACTACAAATATATTTTATTTATAGTTTCAGACACTCTTGATGACATCATGAACGAATCTGGCGACGAAGAAGAATCTGAGGGAATTGTCAACCAAGTGCTTGATGAAATTGGCATTGAAATTAGTGGCAAGGTGAGCACACACATACCATATTCCTATGCTAAAGTTGTATGTATTAGATTGTAGTACAATACAATGTATCCTTATTATGGTAGCTTTTATACCATAGTCGACAAAATTGATGCAATATTCACCACTACTGATGGTATTAAATATGTTCAAACCATTGGTAGCTATTGGCAGTGAGGTATAAAATAAGATAACATCATCGATTTGATAGACTAATGCTTGTTTTCACCATCAATCCCTAATTTTTAAGTGACTCCCCCTATGGTATGATAACACAACAGGAATTTCGTTTTCATAGGGGTCACTTAAAAGAGTTTGATGGTGAAAACGGGCATAATCTTTATTTTGGAAGATTCGTTCGTTCGTTTCAGCCAAAAGACGTCCACTGCTAGACAAAGGCCGGTCCTGAAAGAGACAGTTTGAAAGATTATTCTTACTTACTAAGATAATTATCTTTCCTTTAAAACATTTTGTCGAGCTTTGTGCACACATTACAGTAATGACATGCAATCAAAATATAAACCTATCTTTGAAAATATTAAGCCCAAAAATGTGTTTATACAGATGGCCGACGCACCGTCAGTAGCTCGGAACAAGATTGGCGCTTCGACTACCGATGACGACAAGGAAATCATGGCTCAGCTCGCGAGACTTAAATCCACATAATTATGGATTTATTCGATGATTACGTTCACATATTTATTAGGAAATTATTATCTTTGAAAGTACTATTTGCGATCTTTTGTAAAGGTTCCAATTCCAAAGTTATTACTTCGTTAAACAACTGATACTAAAATCGTGGTATGTAATGTAATAGTAATAAGTTGTTTTGTTAAATCATGATAATTATCCAAATAAAAAAGTGCTTATTGTTTTTATTTGGTTGCTACTTGTTGATAATAAGAAGACTATTTTCTTACTAACTATTATTTTAATTAGTATTATTTTTATAATTTTACACTATGCAAATTATGTGTAAGCTATGTAACAAAATTTTGAGTAGTACCTCCTCGTATTTGAACCTATTTTTATACATCAATGTAAATGTCAGCAGACCAAACTATTCAACATTTTTAAATCATCACACTAATATTATAAAGGTGAAAGTTTGTGAGTGGGTATGTTACTTCTTCAAGTCTAAACAGCTGGAGCGATTTTAATAAAATTTGGTGTGGAGTTAGCTGACACTCTGGATTAACACATAGGCTACGCTTTACCGCGGGTAACACCGCGGGGCACATCTAGTTGTAATATAATTTTTAAAATATATACCACTGAATACTAACTTACTTCCATCCATCCATTAAATTGGTTAAGATAGTGTAAATGGTAAGTTTTGTTGTAGCTGTATGTACCTATGTATAATGTAAAAATAAGCTGTGATATTTTTGTATTATATGGTACAATAAAATGTTATAAATTTAAGTTTTATAAATTCATTATGTATAAAAGGAGAAAATATTATTTTTAAAACCCAACCATTTATTGAATTTGATTGTAAAAGGCCTTGACCTTACATGTTTTAATTATGAGGTAATGTTGTTTATTATTCTCAAAACTCAAGTCTTAAATTACTAGTAGGTAACTACTCATACCTAATTATTATTTAGTTCTGTTCTGCTCTATCACAGTTTCAACTGAAATGAAGAAGACTAAAATAGAGCATTTAAAAAAAAGCTAAAGTAGTTTTTAGAATAACTAATTAAATTCATAATTTAGATCAGTCATGTTGTTGAGCTGGCAAATAACATTGAAATGCAAAGAGCGACATCGTCGTTTGCTTTAAAATTTAATGAAATTTACACTTCTTGTTTACCTGCACGATAATGTCTCGAGTCTTGCATATTTTAGGAGGTTGACTCGCCCAACGAACGATTAATTTTGAGACGCGTCATTCACACTTCTAAACTTCTAGGTGACGGTACGTACCAAAACTGAAATGATACCAGATCACCTTTTTGATGAAGGGATTAACAACACGCTCTACCAAAATGATATGAAGCAAGTGCAGAGTAATAAACACGTTTATGAGAGGAATCAAAGGGATTATGTAAGTTTAAGATTAATAACTAGACGTCCAGAGAGTTCTATTGTAGACACACCCATCTCGAATTGTATGGTCCGACGATCCGCTCAAGTCACCCCGCGTGTTCACAGCCTGTGATCCATAAACGGGTCTATCATCACTTTAGATCTATTTCTGTTTATTCTGTGTATTCTTGATATCTGTAATAGCGGGTGTTAGCATACTGGCCAAAGAGCATCAAAATTAGTAGGTATACTTAGGTCTTTTGTAGAATTCCTTTTTTCATTGGACGATGATAAAAAAATGGATATCCTTTGTTTGCTGATAATTTTCTCGCCGGACCTATGTCCGATGAATGTGCACACGTTCATTATAACCAGGCCAAAAAAATCGGGCTCGGAATGTTTACAAGCTATGAAATGTAAGGAAATGCAAGTAAAACTCTTTAAAAATATTGGACCTTGCTAAAACCACAGAATAGTAATAAGTACTACTAAAACTTTTAATTAATCTATTTTGTCGTAAGCTGCATATCTTGTGGTCACAAAGACGTTTTCTGCATGTATTTTTCTCGGTAACGGAGAGCTTGATACACTTTTAAGTCCTAATTAATAGTTTGTGTGTGCGTTATTAATGGATGTAACAATGGTAACAAGCCTGAAAAACAAGATAGCTTAGTAGGTAATTTTATTTATATTATAAATTCTGGCGGTCTTACAGGCGACAAAAAGGTATAAGTATTTTACAAAAAATAATAAATACTTAGACCAGCAACCCTGCATGCCACATGGATAAGATAATGTTGTCTAAGTATTCCCATCGTCCCCTTACACCGTATCCCCGTCACGGGGCTTTTATTTTTTATGCCTTACGCTTACAAGTTACAAGTGATACAAATTAAGTATTTATTGGTTATTATTGTAGGAGCAAGAACAGCGTGATCTGCTCTCGTCGCAAGATGGAGACACGTGTGAAATCCACGACCAGTTCTATCGCGACCACAAGTTGCTGCTGGTGCTGTTCCGCGCTCTCGCCGTCATGCCTATCACCAGGTCTAGGCCAGGTAAGATAGCTCTATGTATAGCTAATTGGTTCGTTTCAGCCAAATGACGTCCACTGCCTGAAAAAGGCCTCCCCCAAGCATTTCCATAATTACCGGTCCTGCGCTGCCCGCGTCCAGGTACCTATTTACTTCCCGCGGCTTTCACCATATCGTCTGTCCACGTAGTGGGGGATCTGCCCAAACTACGTCTTCCGTCCTGTGGTCGCCACTCGAGCTAATTGATTTAAATTAATAAAAATGTTTAACAAATCTTGCTGTTCATTTGTAACTTTTATCAAATTGCAAAGTGTCATTTCACTGAAACTGCCGTGTGAATATTTCATGTAGGTAATTACACTGAACATTTATCTCTGTTATATCCGTAGCGTGGTTTAGGGTAAAACGACTTTGTAAGTAGAGATACCTCTTAACTACACTGGAAACGAAATTTCAGGCATGGTTTTAAAGTAATTTTCATATTTCCAGGTACAATCACCTTCAGTTGGCGCTCTTCAGCCACTGCCTACGCAATCTGTTTCTACATCGCTACCACCGTCGTCGTCTTAGTCGTCGGTTACGAACGCATCTTGATTCTTCGCTCCATCAAAAAGTTTGACGACTACATCTACGCTATTCTCTTCGTCGTGTTTCTTGTGCCTCATTTCTGGATACCTTTTGTTGGATGGGGAGTGGCTCACCAAGTTGCCATTTATAAAACCAATTGGGGAAAGTTTCAAGTTAGTTTTTAATTTCTTATTTAATTTTTTTTTTCATATAAGCCTTATTAAGTTAACTTACTCAAATTACAGGTCCGATACTACAGAGTAACGGGCGAAAACCTTCAATTCCCCAATTTGAAGACTGTGATAGTTATCATAAGCATTGGATGTCTGCTGTTAGCCATAGGATTTCTTCTTAGTCTTTGTGCCCTTCTGGATGGATTTCTATTAAAACACACAGCGGCATACTACCATATCATAACGATGATCAACATGAACTGCGCTTTGTGGTATATAAACTGCAGAGGAATCAAAATTGCATCGCAAAGTCTTTCAGAGTGCTTTCGTAGGGTAATGTACTATTGTTTCTCTATTAGCATCTTATGTTTCTACTATTTTACATTCATAAAACTTTCATTTTTAACAGGACGTTGGAATAGAGTGCTCAGCTAAATTAATTTCCCGGTATCGCTACTTGTGGCTAAATCTCTCCGAACTACTTCAATTACTAGGAAACGCTTACGCTCGAACTTATTCTACTTACTGCCTCTTCATGTAAGTCTAAATTGATATAAAATTAAATCAAAGGCACTTTATTTAATTAACTTCATTTTTGCATGTATTGTAAAATAGGTCATTATCTAAATAACATCATTCATTAAATTTAAATAAAAGAATTTATTTAAAAAAAATTTATTTTAAAAAAAATCTAAATAACATCGTAGGGGAGACCGAAAGAGAGTTGTGACAGAGGAGAGTTGTCGATTTTTGTAAACTTAATAACAATCAGCGAGCTCACATAAGCGCGCATTTGTTAGCTCGAGACTTGAACTAAAAAACACAATCAAAATGTCGCAACTTTCCTCGGTCTCCCCTACATAAATGAAACAGAAAAAAATCTATTAAGTATTTTATGAAGAGCATTCGCATTTATGTATGGGGTATATTAAATTAGGTTTACAAACATTACAATCGCCGTATACGGAGCGTTGTCGGAGATAGTGGACCACGGCATCGGCTTCAGCTTCAAGGAAATCGGCCTGTTCGTGGACACCGTCTACTGCTCCACACTGCTGTTCATCTTCGCTGACTGCTCGCACAATTCTACGCAAAAGGTAATATACCTACTCGTAGTTGTAGATGACCCAGCGTTTAGATAGTAGGTACTAAACATTTTTGGTTAGTACAATGTCGACCAGGCGCTAAATCTTAGGGCCCTCGCCCACGGCGACTTTTTGTCGCGCGTTAGTCGCATTTGCAACGCACTACAGAAGTGATGCCAACGCGCTACTGATGCGCTACAGCAGCGCGACTGCATCGCTACAAAATATTCATGAAAAATATCGAGGAACCTTCTTTGTTTTTCTTGGAAAAAAATCTATACCTACCTTAGGTTCTTCTATTGAAACTTGAAAGGGTTTTCAAGTTTGCTATTCAAACTTTAAATATAATACAGTTAGACCCTTTTAAGGTGTGTCTCGATATTTTTCATGAATATTCAGAAATGTTTAGGCGTATACAGGATGTTGATTTCAATCCTATAAATAAATAAAAAATCCTCGCCATTAAGGAGTTGATTCAGTAGCTTAAGAGTAGGCGCACACCGTTGATTTTTAGTTGGCCGATAGTTGTGCCCGATTTTAAATTGTATGAAGAATCGGCCAAATCGAATCGGCGTAGTGTGCGCACTCCCATACATGCCCATGCTGATCAACTGCCCGACTAAACTATCGGCCGACGAAAAATCAACGGTGTGCGCCTACTCTAAGTGTTCAGATCATGAATCAGTAAAATAATTGACTTCTAAAAAAATTTAAAACAAACTTTAACTTTAGTTAGTCAAAGAAAAATACCTACTTTACGTGGCTTCCTTCAGTAGGTTATCCGACATGATAAACGAGTGATACATGCCCATGCTGATCAACTGCCCGACTAAACTATCGGCCGACGAAAAATCAACGGTGTGCGCCTACTCTAAGTGTTCAGATCATGAATCAGTAAAATAATTGACTTCTAAAAAAATTTAAAACGAACTTTAATTTTAATTAGTCAAAGAAAAATACCTACTATACGTGGCTTCCTTTAGTTATCCGCTCGATGGGTGCCGCAGTGTAAACTATTGCAGTATAGCGAGCCACAGTAAGTAGAGTTGATGTCGCACGGAAAATATTCGCTAAAAATTCTTTTTTTCGTTTGTAATTTTTTTGGTGGATAATGCGTTTATACTATAAGTCATATAGATCACCTAAATAAATATGGCGAGGATTGAAATCAACACCCTGTACACCGGTGATGGTGGTATCACTATATAATACGCATCTTATTTAATTTCAATCTTTTTTTAATAAGGTGGCAGACGGCGTTCAGGAGACTCTTTTGAGTATAGATGTTCTATCTGTAGATCGGCCAACGCAAAAGGAAGTAAGTTACATTTTGTATGATTTATTGCTTTAAATTATACTGACCAAGATGAACTTTACGAACATTAAGCACTAAAAAATACTTTAAATTAAAGTTTATATCTAAAATATTAAAATTCAGAGGTTTGTGTTTAATTTATGTCTGAAAAATCTCAGCTCAAATTAAGCTGAAGTGAAATATACCGGAGAAACAAAACTCCGAACAATTCGCGCTAAGTTGTAAAGATTGTACCGATGCCGCGATGTTCAGGAAGTTTACTTGTAAACAACAAATAATTCGAAGTTATGCCAGTTCTCATGGTTTGATTACAGCCCACTTAGCAAAAGTAGAGTTTTCCTACAGTTGTTGTTTATTATGACTTTTTTTTTAAAACTAACTATGAAGGATATTTTAGTAGAGATGCATTATTTCTTATACACTTCAAAGCCGCTACATTATAATCACATAGTTATTGTTTAGGTACAAGATTAGACAGAAGACGCCTTTTCACACACATATTAGTCATGTCCATATTAAATGTGATCGTTCAATAGACTGCCTCCACTGTTTGATGGAGATTCAAGATCATTGTTCGTATTTTGCAGATCGATCACTTCATTCAGGCCATTGAAATGAACCCAGCTGTGGTGAGCCTTAAAGGTTACGCTAACGTTAACAGGGAGCTACTCACCTCGGTAGGTAACCTTTAATATATCTATATACCTATATAAAAGCGAGAGGTCATTGACTGACTCACCCATTACGAAATCTCAGAAACTATAAGTGCTAGGAGTCTCTGCATGGGGTTTCTTTTAGAACGTAGATGCTCACTAAGACGGAATTTTGCAAAATTGAACCCCTCAAGGGGCAAAACGGGATCCACGCGTACGAAATCGCGGGTGGCCGCTAGTTTATTTAATTTAATATAATTTGGTAATCATGTACAATCAGCGTCAAATAGTTCGTAACACCCAAAGTGGCTAATAAATTGACTACACAACCTTATTCCAAGTGTAGGTAACAAAGACATTTTGCGAACTTTTTGGCTACTTTGGGTATCACGAAATATTTGATGCTGACTGTGTAGGTGCCATTAATAATTCAACTGTTTTTAAAATACCTGCAGACATATTTACTTTTGTTAGTCACATCCTATGGTTAATTGGTTATGGTTTATTTGGTTTTGTACTAAAAGTTAATTTCTCATTTTCCACACAACAATATGCGGTATAATCTACTGCTTAGCAGATTTAATTTACTTTACTACTATGTAGTCTGAATGACTAGCTAACACCTACATAAATCCACTAAAAGGATATGATACGAGTAACAAATAGTAATTCTTATCTAAATACCAGCGTTACTCTATTCTGATAAAACACCGTGGCAAAACACCTAGAGCATGGTAGGTAAATACATGCCCTTGCCAGTGTCCAAAGTACAACACACATGACTCAAATCAAAATAACCAGAACGTTATTTGTTAGCAGTAGAGTTAGTCAATATAAAAATACCTGGGTATCCATAAGGTTTTAATGTTTGGTCTTTCCAAACACGTCATAATATTTTTTGTATCATCAAATATCATTCTGACTTAATAAATGTTAACTTATTTATTTTAGACTCTACTTCTCTTGTTGTAGATTAAGATCCTTAAAAATAGGTAATTAGGATGTTTTTCATTGATATTTACCGACTGTTAAATTTTCAGGCAATTAGTATGATCGCCATCTACCTCATAGTCTTACTGCAGTTCAAGATTTCATTGCCGAAGGATCCACAGATGCCTGCAACATAAAAATATTTTTAAACACACTGTACTCGTGACAAAAAGTGTAGAGAAAATTTTACATATAGATTATGATTAGCGTTTGCATTAGAATAATCATCATTCTATAGATGATGAGTATAAATTGTTAGCTAATAAAACACTTAAGTAGACTTGCATTTTACTTGTCACAGCAGGCCCTCGTATCTGCCGAAGTGTCACCCGCAATCACTCCGATATTCTGCCCATCACAAGGCAGATTCATTAATCAACTTTTCCAATTTTCAACAACCCAGCGCCTTTTATCAGCAACTTTTACTGTCAGGACCCGAGAGCGTTTTAACAGGCACTTCTCCGAATATCGAGAAAAATAAAAAAGGGAGAAATCTATTTTGGCCAGAGACGAGAAACGCGAGCGCGAGACGTTAACACGAATTAGGATTTCTAGACTCCCTATTTTTTTCACATTTTTATCAACGACTGGTAGACTACTGGAACCTACCAAATGCAACCGATGGACTTTCAAACCTAAAAATCATATTCATTTGTTCTGAAAATTCAGTAATTAAGAACTACTTAAATTATGGTAATGATGATATCTTATGGTGAAATAAGTTCTGAGTCCGAGTGTTACTTTCTGTAATTTGTGCTAACATGATATTTGTACACTACTTCGTTATAAGGAAATCCATTTTTCACGATGCATGGTGTTCCTACACATAAACACATAAAAAGTTTTTTTCTTTTCTAAAAACCCTTAAGCTCCAGGGAATCCCTGTCAGATCATTCCAAATGCTTTTTGGGAATACAATGCATTGAGTAATAAAATAAACAAACATGAATTTGGGTCACCCAAATAGCACTGAATGCACATGGGAGCATCTTCTTTTCACTTTGACAAAAATAATTTGCAAGCACTTGCGATTGTCACTTTTCACAATCCAAACGCCAATAGCATTAAAAAAGATAGTCGTAATGGCTTATATCCTTGTTGCTTTGTTTTTAATCCAATGGCAACGTGATGCTCTAAATAATTTTCAAGATTCCTCAAACTTTATTTCATTTCAGTAGTCACTCAGTCAGTCACATAAACTTTGTAGGAAAAATTAAGTAGTTACTTATTTAAAGCATAGTTTTGAACTACAAGTTCTAGACCAGCGAATATCTACTAGATTTCAGGATACGGCTGTTCGTTGGTCAAAGCACATTGATTGCGCTTAATAGAACGTACTCGTACGAAACAATTGAAATCTATGTTCATTCGAATTTCCAGTGTGAATGAATGTAGAATGTATTGTGGAGTTACTAGTCGACTTTGTGCAATAGTGCTTATAGAAGTAATTTATAGTACACATGAAAGGAAAGTCATTAAAGTTTAACAGATAAAGCGGTTTGCGTGATACTGGGCCCCTCAATAATATACCGGCACGTTATCGACATATGAACATTAAATCCTATTAAAATTACATTACCTATCTATTTGCGTCGTCTTTCTTTCTTTTCTCGGAATATCTGATTGCCTCTGGCGTCATAAATATAGTACCGAAGATATGATTTCTTATTTTATAGAAGTAAATTATCTAGCATTTTTAAGTTGTTTACTTCAAGCGAATTAGGTTCACTTTTATCAGCAATTCAGATTCAGGTAATGAAAAAAAAGCAGTAATATATTGACTGTTAAATATAATATGCACTGTATCATTGATAGGTACATTTGTAGAGTTCCTAGAGTTGTCTCAATTTGACTTTCAAAAATAAAAATAAAAAAATAAATAAAAAAAAGATAGTAACCAACAGAGTTAATATTAAAAGTTAATACAAAGAGAAGGTTCAATTTCATTCAGTTGCTCCAATAGATATGAGCGCCCGTAACGTCTAAGTTCATAAAGATTACCTTCAACAGTCACGTTTACGCCTCAGTGCCCGTGGTTATAGGTATGCATGCATTATGGGCAAAGTGAACAACGACATAATATCAATTGGCCTATCGGTGACATCATTCGGTAGCATATTGCCGCGAATGGTGTCGAGATTTGTATCGCGCACTCCACTCCACGCCATATTAACTCTCCGAGCACTCTAGATAATGGAATTGGCGGAAAAAAGCACGCAATGCCGCCAACACGTCAATGAAATATTTTATTGATAAATCTAATTGACTCGCCCAATTAGGTGTAGTAGGAAAATCAATTTAATTCAATTCAATTCCACCCTCGGTTAATGGAGATGGTAGGCTGACGTGATGCAATATATTTGGACGAGCCACTGCCACGGCGTACTAATTATAAAAATATAACCTATCCCGGGATATCATTTATTCTACGCCTAAAATATACCTAACATTGGTTCCACTTTTCCCAGTGGACACTTATAACAAAAGATTGGCCTTAAAATAGGTACGAGTAAAGCGATGTTTAATAAATTCATATCCCGACCCCGAGGTTATTCAAACAAATGGATCGGTTTTCATGGACGACTTGATCGAAATGGTAATGATACTTACATGTTAGAAATGTCAAGGTTTTGATATTAGAGACTTGAAAAAGATAAACAAGAGGTACACATTAGTGTAAACCTTTACTATAACCATACCATAACATTATATTCAACTTTCACCTACTACCTACCTAGTATTCTTAACATGAATGAATTTATTGGAAGGAAAATGTAATAAATCACACCACAGCACATACATGGTTATTACATGTAAAAAAATATCTGGCACAGTATTAGCGGGTAGTATATCTTTGTGCCATACAATTATGTTGTCAATTAACGATCATATGTACTCGTACTTACGTCATAGTCACACAATATGTTTTTACAATATTTTATTTTTAATTGCAATTTTCAAATACTCGTAATTTATGTGAAAGTTATAAGTAATTACGTGTATGGAGCTTAGCTCACATAGCATACGCTAGCGGGCATCTCTATCAAGATATCTCCAAAGTACATACCAGGATTCCACACAAAAATCCAGAACAATAGCTTTTCCCTACATTCTATCGCCATACATATTTCTCTCACCTACTTTTATTGTAAGCCTCTGATAAATACACATTTTTCCGCACTAATGACCTAAATTAATTAATATGATGTTCCAGTTATTACTTAAAAGAATGTGAATGCGAAAAAAGGCTCGGTAGAGTCTTGGACCTTTAAATGCTTACAAGAGTTCTGACAGTTGATCTATAGTCCAGTCAATAAAGCATTATGGATGGAAAACTGTAGAACACAATTTCTGACTTCAGGACTTTATTTAGACTAGTTAGGAGGTGAACATAGCAAAAGTCCCCGCCCTTAGCCCTTGAGCCGGCGGGGAGAGGGGGGTTTAAAGGTGCCACTTTTCGGTTTTTCGCTTAATCCTCGGAAACTATGCGTCCTAGTGACATGACTACTTTGAACCAAAAAAAGCATATTCAATTTGCTACAGATGAGATCGATAAGTTTTTCTATAAATTGTATAGTTTTCGTGGCATCTGCTCTTGAAAGTCTGTAATATTGGAAATTTTATTTTTGTCTTACATGTTCCCATCAGGAGAAAATCGACTAAATCAACATTGAGCAATCATTCTAGACATGCGGGAGCATGTTAAGTCTAGTTCCAGCGAGGGGACTACACCGTGCGTATATTTAGACGAATCACTTTGAGCCACTTTTGACTCCTCATCACTCAAAAACTACTGTGCATTAACACTTCAAATTTGGCTCATGTGTTGAGACTTGCAAGATATACATCAGTTTCAAATTTCATAAATATGCCTCAAACGGTTCTTTAGATATTGACGTCCAAAAATCTACATGTCTGACCTATAGACCAAATTCTAACCACTTCCAGATGACCTCGAAGGTTCAAATTTGGCATCCAGAAAGGTAGTTATGTAAATACAAAGGAACAAATAAAAAACCAGTAAATTTTAACATTTCACATGTGATAGATAGATAGTAGTGCTCTAAATATCGATTTTTGAACGTCAATACCTAAATAACCGTTTGAGGTATATTTATGAAATTTGAAGCTGATGTATATCTTGCAAGTCTCAATACATGAGCCAAATTTGAAGTGTTAATGCACAGTAGTTTTTGAATGATGAGGAGTCAAAAGTGGCTCTAATTGGTTCGTCTAAATATACGCACGGTGCAGTCCCCTCCATGGAACTAGGCTTAACATGCTCCCGCATGTCTATAGTGTTTGCTCAATGTTGATTTAGTCGATTTTCTCCTGAAAGGAACATGTAAGACAACAATAAAATTTCCAATTTTACAGACCTTCTAGAGCAGATGCCGCAAAAACTATACAAGATATAGAAAAACTTGACGGTCTCACCTGTAGCAAATTGAATAGGCTTTTTTTGGTTCATAGTAGTCATGTCACTAGGACGCATAGTTTCCGAGGATTAAGCGAAAAACCGAAAAGTGGTACCTTTAAACCCCCCTCTCCCCGCCGGCTCAAGGGCTAAGGGCGGGGACTTTTGCTATGTTCACCACCTAACTAGGCTAAATAAAGTCCCGAGGTCAGAAATTGTGTTCCACGGATTTCTCTCTACACCGTCGTTAAGGCATTCATTGACTGGACTACTATGGATATTGAATTAACGTGGGTATTAAGAGGTCATAATTCCAGCCGAAGAAACCTTTTTTTCAACCAAAGATACTTAAATATACTCGTACTTCGATCGTAGCAAATCATTAAACTTTTCGTAGCATAGCCCCGACTACGGCGTAGCATCAGAAAAGCAAGACTAATATTAAAACAGTTTTAAACTTGGTAATGAGTTGTAATAGTTGTGAGCTGTGAATGTCATCGCGAATAGTCAAGGATGTTTATTGCAAATAAAGTGCTTAAATAACTTTTGAAAGCACTCGTGTATCTGAAAGTTCTTAAATTGCTTGTTATGTTTGTTTGAATAACTTATTCATGGCTACTATGGCCATATAAGTAGTTTATATCTATACTAATAAACAAACTAGATATCATGGTGAACTTGTAGGTATCACCTACATACACATACTCGTATAATCTCTTTCTTTCAGGACAAACGTTTCAAAACCAGAATCAGTCAGACCTTCAGTTTTAGGGGGACTAACGAACAACAATAATTTTATGGTTGTAGAAGAGCTCACTAACTCAAATAGTATTTTTATATAAGTAGTATTATG